TTCTTGTTTCTGAGAATCTTGATGCTGCATAGAATTTGGCTTTTGTGGTTTCTGACGAGATTCAAATTATTTCAAATGTTGTTTCTCCATCTGTTATTGATGTTCTTGATAAGGAGCCTATGGATAACATTGATGTTGATGCTTGAGAGGAGAGTCCTACTGCTTACTGTGAGGTTTCTAATCTCATACTGATCATTAATTCTTTAAATTGTTGTTGAGGACCCGAAGGATATTGGTCTTGGTTTGTCTCATGATATGTTGGATGTTGTGAACATGGGGTGTTGTGATGCTAACACGGTGGAATTTAAATAATTCCTCTAACGGAATGGATGTTGCTACTAATTATGGTTCTTCTTTGGACTCTGTGGTTTTGACTCTATCTCCTGTTGGAAATGAGGAAGTACCATTTGTTGATGTCCCTATTTCTATCACTACTAATGAAGCCTCGAAAGCCCATTTGGGGTTGAATATGAAGGATACTTGTGTTGATCATTCTGATTGGCTTGATGAATCATTTTCCTCGCCTTGTGGGGATGTTCGGGAGGACTTAGATGGGCCTGAGGATGAGTTCAAATGATCGAGATGTTTAATTTGAAGGTGGGTTGTATAGTTCATAAATCATTTTCCATTGGGGGGTGGCAAAAATCATTAAGGGCTTGTATTCTCTCGTTTATATTAATGTGTAGGCCCCTATAAGTGGGCTTTATAAAAAAAATAGCTTGGTGAAACCATGTTCTCAAAGGAGTTCATACATCTAGTTAATCTAGGATTTCATACATGTGTAGGAATACAACTCATATAATTGAAATTAATCTAGATTAGAAAAGAAATAATCAAAATTTACAAAAGGAATAGACAATATTATCAAAGAAGAGATTACTAAGCTCATATAGTTGAAGTAATCTATGATTTCATACATCTAGAATTTGCATTAGGTCTATGAAATTATGATTGCTAAGAAAAGTAATAATGGCCGAAGGATGTACATTGAGTCCTCTAATCTTAAATTTGTATGTTTCCAAGGATAACCACTGAACATCCCAACTCCCAAGATCTAATTATAAAATAATTATCTATTTTAAAATCTAAATAAATCAACAAGGGTTTCAATGAATTCATCAATATAAATCAATCTAACATAAAGAACTAAGTGAGCAGGAGCCTACATATTGTACAAATAACTATAATGTCCTTCAAACATCTCTAGCTTCCGAAATGCTATCAGCTACGAACGACCGTAAATACTGTACAAATAACAATTATTGCAGTTGCATTAACTATCATAATAAATAATAATTTTTTTAGTAAACAGTAGATGTAAGGGCACATATTTCATAATTAAAATATTATTATGTAACTATCAATAATATTGATCTTTTAGAGGATAAATGTATCTCAGACTTTTATAAGAGAGAATTTTTAGGTAAATCATATTAACTCTCAAATAGCAAAATATGGATCCACACAATGGGATGAAAGAATAAATGAAGAATTTACTACTTAAGACTTTAGGGTTATGACTTATGAAGCATAATCCTTCCACACCTTTATCTTTAATATATAAGAGAAGAGTTGCCAAAAATGATTCACCACTAAATTTCTATAATATCTGAGGATTTTCAATCAAGCATGAAACCTAACGCAATATTTATATAGGAATGCTAAAATGCAAGTAATGATCAATGTAGCAATGCATTTGAATGTGAAAATGAAAATATTAGATGGCTAGGAGAAAGAGAGTAAATGAGTGAGAATGAGAGAAAATGAAAAAAAAAAGTTGTTGTAATGAATTTGTATTTTGTGTATAAATTGAGGTTCCGTTTGAGACAGCTTTTTTACTGTTTCTTAAGCGGTTTTTAGTACAAGAATTTAAATTTTTGTGCTAAAAAGTTGTTTCAAGAAGCAGTAAGAAAGCGGTCTCAAACGAAGCTTGAATTTATATTTTGTGTACAAAATTGTATGCTATATTTCATTTGTATTGTTAATTTAAATGCCTAAATGTGAATCATAATTAACTTGTGTAGTTATGTGGATGACTCAACAGATAGGATAGGATAGCTTATGAAATTTTTTATGCTGTTAATGATTTCAGGTAAATTATTTATTGAAACTTGAGCCAACAATTATTGATAAATTTTGACGTATCTATCGCTCGGGAGTTTTGGCTATTAATCAAAAGGTCTTGAATTCAAGACTTATGTATGTGATGTGTATGAATTTATTTTAATTAGTCAAAATGTCCTAAAAAATTGATAAATTTTGCACTGGATATTACCAGTGCAATAACAAGTTGACTATTCCCTGACAATTTTTAATCGGTAACTAGCTATTACATAAAAACCATTTTATTTCACGTTATTTACAAATCTAACCCCCAAAACATTAATATTACATGTTTATCAACCATATACAACTTTAATATCAAATATCTCACTCATATATTTCATTACCATCCTATAAAATTTAATATTTCATTCCATGTACTAATATTTGTTCAACAGGTGGTCGACATATAATATTAATATTTTAGACATATTAGATATATAAATAACATGAAATAAAATGGTATATATATAAATCCCCCATTTTTTTATCAGTCATCCCCCGCTTCATGTGGAGAATTCACTGAAAAAAATAATTCCAGAGAAATTTTTTTTAGTAAAAGGCTTTTATCAGCAGATGTAAATCCACTAGAAATGTAAATTTCTGACGAATTCCAACAAATTCTCAGGCATGCAAGAAAATGAAATTTTTCTGCAGTCAGATGCATCGTGCATGCACATTGAGAAACCACCTGAGACAATAGGACCACAACCTCAGTCATGAGCAACACATTACAAAATGATTAAGACGGCTTTTTCGTTGCTTCTTAAAATAATTTTTTAATAAAAAATTAAAAAAATTATATTAAAAAACTGCTTTAAGAAGGAGTAAAAAGCCGTCCCAAAGAAAGCCTAAGTCACTAAAACAACAGCGCATTCGAAAATCAAACTGAACAAGTGAAGAGCCTGAGGAAAGTGTATTCTCTTCAGAGAAGTTCTTTCTAAAGAACAAATATAAGAGGGTCTTCTTTGTCGGAAACCTTTTTGGCTTCTGGATCTGATAAAGAAGAGGAACTGAAAAGAATTAACTATGTTAAACTCGTTATTCCTGTAACTCGATTGTCTCCTTCTTGCACTAATTACCCTCGTCTCAGCTCTCCTTAACTAACCAGATCTTACAGTCTCCTTCCCTCTCCATCTCCGACCCAAATCTAAGCTATAGCTTTGTTTGGACAGCTTTCTTACTACTTTCTAAAGCAGCATTCTAAATTTCAAACTTCCAGATTACTGGTAAAAAATTGTCTTCCTTTGACTCATTCAGTGAAGGGTGCCTAATCAATTATGATGAGAAATAGTAAAGTGGTGCACATCATCGATTATAACGATGATGGTGATGACATTTTAAAGTTAAAAAGATCATATTTTGATTCATCAAGTAAATGGTGCTTCAGTATCAAATATGGTGACCGTTTTTCTAATAATCTGGAGATGAATAGCTCGTTTCAGTATGCATGACTGTTTGATATTGATGTCTTCAACTGTGTTTTGTTGTGCAATCTATATAGTGCTATGATTTGCTGAATAATTAGGTGAAGTAGAATGTTATTTCACGCTAAAAATGCCAACGAAAGCGTTATAAGAGTTCCAACTGTGTTATAAATTGACAGGACTAACAAAATGATCAATATGCATTAAATTTTCTATTATTATGATAAAATATCTTAATTTTAATTAGTCTAAAATAAAATAAAATTCTTATAACTTGTTTTTATCATAATATTTACATCAAATGTCTTAATTAAAAGCTGTTTATAATGTTGAAATACAAAATATAAACAGATATAGCAACTATTTAGCAGATCAGCTACATATATAAAGTACAAATAAATTGTTGCCACCTAATAATAAGTAGTAACTAGTTTGCTTATAAAAAATATACATAAGCAGCATTAATTGCTTTCTTTTTTTTAATAAATGCCTTAAGTGAAAGAAGAATCTCAAAAGTATTTTGTAATAAATTCTGAAAATGACAATAATAATTCAAAATGTGAGATAACTTGAAATATCAGAAAAAAAAAAACTATTAATCATGCAAGAACTAAACTGATAAATTAAGCTAGCTACCTTGTGTTCTTAACAACAACAACAACAACAAAAACAAAAAAATAAGTTTGTGTTCTTGTTAATTCTCATCTAGCATTAGAAGATGGCCGACACCAGCTCATCTTGATATGTTGGTTAGAAGCTTAGACTACCAACTAAAAGGCTTGAGTTCGATTCTTGTGTATGCAATATGTGTATGAGTTTGTCTTAATTAACCTAAATGTCCCAAAAATTTAGAAAATTGCGGTATCATTTCTCCCTAAATTACATGATTTTTTTTTCCTTCTTATTTTTCAGTCAAAATATGTCTAGCAATGTGTTTAACGTGGATTATCCTTGTGTATGATGAGGGCTTACAAAACCTCATCATTCAGTATGTGTTTGGAACACATGACATGATAGCATTAGTGAATAATTATTGCCCCATAATAATATCAATTAATAAGATCATTATGACAAAATAATGCTAGCTAATGAATGAGGAGAAACTCACAATGCAAATTTCTACAATTCCAACAAATAAAAGTTAAGAGATTACCAAAATGAAGAACAAATTATAGAAAGTAAACAAATTCTAAATCATTTATTAATGTATAAATTAAGCTGCCCAAAAACTTTACTTTTGAGCTGTTCCTTAATAAAGCAAGCATGGAAATAAAGGTTCCTATGGGGAAGAAGATACCTTTTCCAGATGAGTCCAGAAAAGCACTTACAACATTGCACATCTGAGAGCCTGCAGACATGCAGTACTTTATGCAGTTTGTTTCAAATAAATCATCATCACCACAAACAAAGAATGATTCAGCAGTACTCGTTTAATAACAAACTTTGGAACAAGTTGGAACAAGTGAAATATATAAAAATTCTGAAGTGAAAAAGTTTATAAGCAAATTAATTGTTTCATGAAAATTAATATATTACACACATAGAGGACTGAAATACGCAGCTCATTAGTCATCTTTGTCATTCCTCTCTCTTAATCTTAGCGTTTTTAACCATGATCAATAATCTAAGATCGAATTAAAGGAGAAACAGAAGGAAAAATCAAATTACTTCCTGGAGTTGGATCTCAAATATGGAGAATTGGAGATTGATCCAAGAAACCGAACTGTTAATTTAGAACCAATCCAGAAGAAGGAGAAAAAGAGCATGAAGATATGTAACCATGGCTATGGCTTGGTATGTACACATAACTAACAAACAAACTTACTAATTAACAAGTAAATAGTCACCCTCCATCTAAATTCTTTTCCTTCCAATCTCCAAATTTCGAAAGCTTGAGCTGGAGAAAATCAATAATTTTTAATGTAATAAGATGATGGAAAGGATCCGAGGTTCCTCTCGGAGCAAATCGATCCTTCTCGACGCCGCAATGACTCAAAAACAGCACGAGACGCCATTGAGACCTCTGCAACCGACATGATCTCTCCGATCCATGATCTGATCAGTTTATGTAGTTTTTTTACGGGAACCAAGAACAGGATAAGAAAATAGATGAACAAAATAAAGCACCAAATTGATTAGACGACCCATGCTTGAAAATACGTTGACGAAACAATTAGCTAGCTTTTGCTAATTAGATAAGAGGAGCCACCGACGAGCTGGATTCTGGCCAGCCGCTGCACATCGCTTGATTCCAGTAGAGATAGGGGGTCTGAGCAACGGCCCCACTGCCGCCAGAGGCCGCAAAGGAGTTTGTGGCTTCCAATGGATTCCCCTTCGTATCTTGCCAATTATTTATCGATCTATTTGAAGTGTTGTTCTCAGTTCCCATGTTGATATCATCATAGGAAAGCAATGGCTGGTAGGCCTCTGCAGCCATCGGAGATGAAGAAGAAGGAATATGAGAATTCAATAGCGAGTAATCTCCAAGAAAATCCGCCGGTGCTGCCGCCGACTTCTGTAGATCCACAATATTGGCAGCGCTAAGGCACGACTGGAAGTTTTCTTCATAGCCAGCAAACTGTGCATCGAGCTCGAACTTGGGGAAGAAGACCGTTGAGGAATTCATCATCTGTGGAAATCCATAGAGCAACGAGCTGAGATCTGTGGCTGGGCTATGAATAACTGGAGGTGGTGGAAGAGATGGTGCAGCCGCGGTGATGGAGGGGGCGGATCGGTGGGATTTCTTCGTTCTCTTGTTCTTCCGGCAGCCGCCGCCAACAGGAACGTTGCGGAGGGTGCCACCGCGGGTCCAGTATCTCTTGCAGGACTTGCAGAAGTGGCGCGGCTGCGCGAGGCTATAGTTGTTATAGTAGCAGAATTTTGTGTTGGTGGAATCGCAGCGGGGGCAGTTGAGTGGTGGCGAGCCGGCGTTCTGCTGCGCGGCGGCCGTGCCAGAATCTAGCTTGGCAACCATGATGCACAAAATTGAATGGGAAACTGGAAGAGGAGAATAAAAGAGGTGAGAGAGAGAGGATGGAGAGAGAACGGGGATGAATAATGGAAGGTAGAAGGTTCTGTCCCAAGAACTACGCGACAAGAGGGCGCATGCAAGAGGAAGAATTATTGATAGGGATGGAGATGGTTTAGAGAGAGAATGGAGCAAGTGGTGGTGCTGGTGGACTGGTGGGATGCGTTTCTTCTTGTGGCAGAGTATCAGGACCAGAAATCTTATGAGGAATTAAAATAATATGTAATTATTTAATATGATTTTTTTTATTTTATTGAATCATGCAAACTTAGTGAAAATAGATCACATTATAAGTGAAAGCAAAAAAATAAATAAAAATTCTTAGGGCATTAGATCAATAATTATATATATATTTTTTTTTAATTTTAAGCTAATTTACTCCTAAAGAAGGCACCAGAAGAAGAAGAAGCAATGTCAATATTAGGAGTGTCAATTTGGGTCGACGGATCAGGTTCGGGTCGAACGCGAGTTGACCCAACTCCAAACGGGACAACCCAAACTCGACCCATTTTTACTAATGGGACGGCTATTCCAAACCAGACCAGACCCGCACGGGTTGTCGGGTTGAACCAACCCAGCCTGGGTTTATTAGATTTGGTTAAAAAAGCATGAGCTGAGCTCCCATCGCCGGCGGCGAAGCAGCGGCGCAACATCAGCATGCGAAGCGACGCGAAGAAGGCAAAGTGATGCCACCTTTCCGGCAATGCACGCGAAGCGACTCGATGCGTCGAGCAACGTCGCCAACCTGACACTCGACGCATGTAGTAGACACAAGGAGAGGGTTTCTAGGTCAACCCGAACCCAAACCCGATTTTTGAAACTGGTCAATTTGTTGAATCCAAACCCGACCAATTTACTGGTCAATTTGTTGAATCCAAACCCAGACCCAAATTTTTTCGGACCAGATTACAGGTGGTGTTCCCTAGTCAATATAAAATAATGAGAGTACTCCTCAATAGTAACAAAATTTTAAATCATCAATCACATAACAAAAGTGTATTCATAAATAAAATTAGTATAAGCCAGCAATACAATGCTCAACTATAACCAGATTTATTGTACTTATTATCATAAAATTGAGCTTGCGCTCATAACGAAGAACCAAAAAAGAGAACGATCAATGCAAATTAATCACAATGATGTTAGATTCTATACAATAAAATAACTGTGACCTAAGCAAAATTTCGTTAAGGCTTCATTTGGGACACTGCACATAATAATTTTTCCTTTAAATATGTGCTATATTCACATTATATAATTTTAAAAAAAAATCTTCATAATCAAAGCATCTTTTGCAGCTGAATTTTCCTGCTGATAATAAGCATTAAACAGTAATAAAGATTGTTATGAAAATTTAAAAAATACTGCATCTGTTTTAGTGCTTTTTACAGAGGAGCTTTAAAAGAAATTCCTGTTAGAATTTGTGTCCACAATTGTGGATCGTGGGTGTCATAAGTAGGAGAGAAGGGAATCCCGAGAAAAGAAATTAGGTTGGCTGAGTGGGCTTTGGGTTTCCGTCCTCAGGCTTCCTTAAAAGCATTAAATTCCGATGGGAAAACGACAAGAGCTGCATTGCCAGGCTAGAGAGAGAAACACAAGAGTTTAGAAGAGAGGAGCAGGACAATTTTTTTTATTTTACCAAAAAAAAAAAAAAACCGTCCAAATAACTTTTTAAAAAAATTTAATTTTTTATTAGAAATGTGCTTTAAGAAACATTAAAAAATTATATATAAATGAAGTCCGACTCATTTGAAATATATATATTTTTTTGTTAAAATCCACAGAGGGGTCTACACGTTAATTTCAAAAAAAAGGTTACAAAAGTCCTTAAAAGGACCATCCAGCTCTCTAATGCTCGAAAGAGCTACAATGAAAAAGGAAAGAAAACCTAAGAGCCGGTGGTTCCTTGTCCTAAGATTACAAAAAGAACATAAGTAAAGACTCGGACTGTTAAGAAACAGCACCCAAAAAAGGAAGATCCAATCATTCCCGTTCAGCACAAACTTCTTGCAAAAAAGATGAAGAAAAAAAGAAAAGGCAAACAAGATTCCAAAATAAGAGTACCTTGCAGTCATTGATGTTCCTGAAATATAAAGATGAAATAATCCTGCAAAGAGCTCTTTAAAAAGATATGTTAAGCAAATAGTAAATAAACCAGGAAACATACTTAGGAATATAACTATAAACCAGGAAATACCAACTGATACTATAACTCATATCTAACAAATACTAGCCATACCAAAAAAATGCACCATCAATAGCCTCTTCCACTTATCCCCCATAACAAAACACTCAGAACCAAAACCGTAGTCAATCTGCAGCCCCCAGGAAATCATAACCCAAGAAAGAATGTTAACCAAAGCCACATACTGACAGAAAAATGGACAACCCCTTAACCCCCCCTGCTCCAGCAGAACAAATACCTCCTAGAATGATAGCAACAGCTATTAGCATTAGAAGAAAACACCATCTTAGTAACAACCCAACTCCAGCTCCAGCAGATAATAATCCATTGGAACCAGAAAAGCAAAGGCAAAACACCAACACCCAAGCCAAAATAACCCAACCGACACAGCCAGAGCAGACAACAACACCCCATCACACTGCCACCTAACCAAAACAAAAAATAAACCAACATAGCACTAACTGTGACGAATGTAAGGTAAACCAATTTTATCAAGATTAATCATCCCTTTAAGATGCACAGGAATATCAAGCACCTGATACTCTAGCAAAGACTCACTTTCAATAACTAAATTGGCAAGCCAATCCGCACAAGCATTACCTTCACGATAAATGTGGGAGATAGTAAAATTGATCAAGGATAGGGCCATTTTAATTTTACGAATGGTGTAGAAATTATGTGGGAAACATACATCTTTCTCAGTAAAAATATAAACAAGAAGAGTAGAGTCAACTTCAATATGCACATTCTGTAAACCCATCTTCATACATAATTGTAAGCCTCGATCCAAAGCCATTAATTCAGCCGTTAAAACAGAGCAAGAAGACAGAGGCCCAGAAAAAGCCGCAACCGGGTTGCCAAGAGAATTCCTGATAATGCCCCCCATGCCAGCTTTATTACACTTAACAGAACCATCAGTATTCAATTTAACAAAATGTTCATTAGGCTTAATCCACATCACAAAAAGCTCCCTATTATTTCTAATAGCATTTATATGAACCCAATGTAATCAGCTAAAAGGTTGCTGTGCGTAAAGTTCTTACCGGAAATAAGGTTTACAGCAATCAGTTGTAAAATTTTGAATCTAACATTAGAGATAATATGATGAGCATTCATCTTAATGCCCAAATGTTTAGACTCATTTCTACCTTTTCAAAGATACCAAATAATCACAATAGGTAGAAGATTATGAATATGACCTTTGCATTTAGTAAACCAACTCTTGAAAAGATCGAACAAATCTAAACTACCATTGAAATCACCAATGTTCGCCAGATTAAAGAAATAAGACCAAAGAGTATTAGCAATGGAACCATTCACAAAAATATGTTCAATGCTCTCACTATTACAACAACATTGACACTTAGACACAATACTAAATCCTTTATTCCAAAGACTGTTGTCAATAGGCAAAAATCTTTTAAGACACCACCACGAAAGCAAGGAATAAGATAAAGGAATAGTATTATTCCAAAGAGAGTTATAGACCGAAGAAACATCACCTTAAAGTCTAATCTCCTCCCAAACATTCTTTAAATTAAAAATACCAGAGGAAGACAAATTAAAAATAATTTTATCCTTGACATTCAAATTTAAAGGGGTTTGAATGATTTTCTCAATGATAACATAAGGAACAACTTCTTGAAGCTTAGGAATGTTCCACTCCCCATTATGGATGAATTCACAAACCCTAGTATTAATAATAGTATGAGTATTAAGGTAATGATCAATGGAATTAGTGCCCAACTAATTTTCTTGCCAAAAACCAACCTCCCAAATACCAATGCCCCATTGAATGTAATTTTCAGCTTCCCATTTAATTTTACATAATCTTTTCCAAACCCTAGAATACGAACTTTTATAATGACAAACCAAAGGGTTAATATTCTTACAATACTTAGCATTCATGAATTTAGACCATAAACTATTATTAGCACGGAACGTAAACCAAAGTTTGTGAGAAAAAAAACATGAGAAGTATTACAAATAGACTTACACCCAAGCGACCCTTCCTTAAAAACACCAAAAACTTTTCTCCAAGAAGCCCAATTGATACAAGATTTATTATTAGTGGCCCCCCAAAAGAATTTATTAATCATCCTCTCCATCCTCATACAAACACTAGCCGGAGGTTGCAAAGTGTGAAACAAAAATATCGGAATAGAGTTAAGCACACTTTTGATTAACGTCAATCTACCACCAAACGAAAGAAATTTGGAAGACCAATTTAAAAACTTCTTTTGAAAAGTAGTAAAGATATTATCAAAATGGAAAATCTTCTTCCTACCGGTAAAAAAAGGTGCCCCCAGATACTTAATAGGAAGAGAAGAGTGATTAAAACCACAAACTCTTTTAATACCATTAATTCTATTGTGATTCACAGAGGCACCAGTAATAAAATTGCTCTTATCCCTATTGATAGACAACCCACTAATCAACTGAAAAGAAGATAAAAATCTAGCAAGACGCTTGACGTTTTTAATCGAGGCATTGGAAAAAATGATAAAATAATCAGCAAAACTAAGATGCGTAATAGGAATGCCGCCAATAGTATGAAAATTAAGCATATGCATCCTATTATAAAGATTATCAATACCACTAGAAAGATACTCCATCGCTAAAATAAAAAGAGAAAGGGATAGAGGATCCCCTTATCTCAAATCATGCTTAGAAGGGAAAAAATCATGACTATTCCCATTGATGATAAGAGAAAAGAAATAATTCTCAATACTGTTCTTGATCAGCATCAGAAAATAATCATTAAAACCCATTAGGTGTAAAATATTATAAAGGAAATCCCACTTCAAATTATCATATGCTTTAGTTATTTCAAGCTTGAACAAAATATTACCACTAGTAACTTTAGCATTTAGATCATGAACCATCTCTTGAGCCAATAAAATATTGTCAAAAATACTACGACCTTTCACAAAACCTGTTTGGTTAATAGAAATAATTTTAGGCAATATAG